CATTTGTATTTACAAACGCTTTGGATTTCTGTATGCTTATTTTATATCCTACTGCTTTACTAAATTTTCCTGTTCTTTATAGTTATTTTTCTATTGACTGTCTTGGGTTTTCCAAGTAGATATAATCTGCACATGGACACAGTTTTACTTTTTTTTTTTTTTTTTTTAACAATTCTTGTCTAATTGCACTGTCTGATATTAGTAACTATAGTGGCCACTCCTGTCCTCATCCCTACTTTTAGAAGAAAAGCCTGTAGGCTTTCCCCTTGAATAGTAAGCTTGCTAATTATATTTTGTTTTATATTTTGTTTGCTTCTGTTTTACATATTTTCAATTATTTTGTCAACAGATTGCCAACTCTTCAGGAGCAGGGACTCGGCATGCCTCTTACTTGTATGGACTTAAGTATTCCTGCTATGTGTTATGTTTTGTGCTAGTCATTGGGGTTGCAAAACAAAACCCTGCTGTGTCCCATCAGAATACTCCCCCCACCCCAAAATTAAGATCTAGTAAGGAATATAGGCATTACACAGATAAAACAAATGTGATAAAATTTCAGAAAGTGACAGTGTCAGATACTAAAGGAACCTGTAACAGAATGACCTAACCTAGTATGGGAGAATCAAGAGATATCTCCCTAAAGAAATAATGTTTAATGAAAATCCAAAGGCAAGAGAGACAGTTGATACTTTCTAAAAGACACCCATTATTACTAGAAAGAAGAGATAGAATGGGAAAGTAGGTCACAAGAGAGAAAGATTTAGAAGTAGTTAGGAAGAATCGGACTGTGGAGAGCTTGACAAGCCCTATTAGGATTGTGAACTTTTTCCTTAAGTACAATAAAATAGGAACCATCTTTGCTTTTTTGGTTTGTATGTGTATATATGTGTTTATGTTTGATAACTACTCTCACTGAGAAGTAGAAAAGCAATTGTAGGAAGCTGAGCATTTTCGTTTCTTATAGTTGCCAGTCATTTAACTTTTAAACCAATGTTTTTCTTATAAATTGGAATGCTGTGGCAGGTAGATTTTAATTCTGAGAGCTAAGCACTATTTCTTATATAAGCAAGAAGTATATTCGTGTCTGAATCCTTTTAAAAAAAAAAGCAAGGAACACAAACTTTTTTAGGTCGTGGGAATTAGTATTGAGCCTGAATTCTTTTTAAGAGGTGAGGAATACAGACTTTTTAATGACTATGTATTTGAATGTTCAATCCATCCAGTTACTAGCTCTTTGGAAAAAAAATTACTAAACTGCTAGAAGCTTTGGTTTTCTCATTTGTAAAATGAACCGTTGTTTTAAGGATTAGCTGAGTGAACTCTTGTAAGGCACTTATGATTTGGCTGGTACATACATATCAAATCTTAGGTGTATTTATTAGCTATTCTTAAGAACTTTAGTTCTTAAATAAAAAGGACAGAAATATATAAAAGAAGACAGAAAGATAATAAAGCAACAGGGATGCAGAGACTGTAAATTTAGACATTCTCTTACGATAACATCCCCATTATATAAGTGAGCAAACTGAATCTTAGAAGTCATTTGAAGTTCATGACTATATAAATAGTAGAGCTGGGGTTTTATTACAGGAGTCTGACTCGAGAACTCAAACTCCATATCACTGTTGTATAGTTTCTTTCCTAAAACAGCGTCTATTTTAGTCGATTCTCTCTCATATTGCAGTCAAAACTACAGAACAATAAATGGGAATGGTTGATTACTTGTTGGTGTTTAGTGAGACCAAAAAATTGTCATAACAAACTATTTTCTGATTTAGGTGATAATGAAACTTTTTCGTAGTTGAAAAATCTTTTTTAGGGTTTATCTACTTAACTGTTTCATTGCATAATTAGCTGTTAATGTGTAATTAAATAAGGAATGTTTCATCAGACTTTTTTTTAGTATTTGCTATCTCTAAAGGGTGATGTCTGAAAAAATATCTGAAATGACTGCATTTGAACACTGTAGTCATAGTAAGGTTGGTGGCGGGTGTTCATATTTGTACATATGAAATATTCTTGGGGTTTGGGAGAGGGGCATTAAGGAGGATATAATTTGTATTAACAAAGCAATTTTCTTTGGGCTATCTACTGTAAACCTAGAAATGATTGAAAAGTATTTTTGTAAAAAAATATTTTTTTTTTACAAAAAAGACATCTTTGTAAAAATATTTTTTAGAATGGCAGAACACATAAATTAAGTAGCCCACTTCGTCAAGTGATGTTCAGAAGCAGAAACATCACTTTGATGTTAACAGAAGTTATCATTGATTTTTTTTTTAACTTCTAAATAGGATTGTTTTTAAGCTAGAGTAAATGTATGGGAAATTAGTAGTATCATGTTTTCTGTTTTAAAGGGTTAACCAGTTTTTAAAATCATTAATACTTCAATGAAATTTTAATATGTTATAATTGGCATGATATTTATCACATTTCTGTTTATCCAGAATGATGGGAATGAACTATATTCTGTTCACCTGTTTATCTTTTTTTTGTAATATAAATAAAATTTTTAAAGTAATCTGTGCCTGTTTGTAACAAATTTGGCCAATGCTAAAGTATACAATTCAAACTTCCTCTCTAATTCCAGTTCCAGAGGTTTTCCTCCACGGTTTGTATATACCCTTAGGCTCATCAGTGTTTATGTAAATGCATAGACATACATATGACATGTTTAACATCTGCATATTATAAACTATACATACATAATTTTAAAGTTAAAATTAAATCATACTTTACTGCTCATCTGAAACATTTTTAATTTAATATGTGTATCCAATTAGTATACATATAATTATTTGTTTATTGACTATTTTATTATAAGACTGTTTATTCATGTGCATATTGATAATAGTTTTAGATTTTTTTTTTTTTTTTTTACTGTTAATAAAGAATTTCACTAAGCCCTATGAGGTTGGTATTATCTCCATTTTAAAAGATGAAATTGAGGCACAGAGAGATTGGGTAACTTGCACACCAAGTAAGTAATGAAGCTGGTTTTAGAATCCTGGCAATATAGCTCAGAATCCACAATCTTCAATATTACATTATGCTGCTTTTTTGCCTTCTATTTTTGCTCTGTTTACCCAACTGGAAAAATTTCGTGTTTAAAATATATCTTAACTGGCTGTGATAGTACACTCCTGTAGTCCCAGCTGCTCGGGAGGCTAAGGTAGGAGGATTGCTTGAGTCCAGGAGTTCTAGTCCACCCTGGACAACATAGTCAGACCCTGTCTCTTTTTTTAAAAAAGTCAAATCTGATATTAAAACTCTCCTGCGCATAATATGCTATCTTCCGGATATTGGAAATGTTGCTATCACAAATTACATAGCTATGATTTGTAGCTGTGTATAATATAGAAGTAGAAGGTTTAAGCCCAAACCTTACCAGTGCTTCTCAAACTTTAATGTGCATGTAGATCACTGAGTGTGCAGGAGGATCTTGTTAAAATATAAATTCAGATTCCATAATCTGAAATGAGCCTGAGTCTCTGCATTTCTAACACACTCCCAAGGTGGCCAGTACTGCTAGTCTACTCGTGAGTGGCAAGGATTTAGGCAGTTTATACTGACCTTTGGCAAACCTTGTTAGGTATTTTATTGAATCAGTTTCATGTTTTGTTTCTGCTGCCTGTTTTTATAAATTGTGTGTGGTAAAGAAATGGGTACAGTCTTTCTAGTCATTTCAATTCTATATGTGTGGCATTTAACAATAAATGAGAAAAAGAAATTGTGCCTTTTTTTGCATCAATGCACAGTACTTAAAATGAATATAATCACTTATTTGTATACTTAATATGGCCCTCCCACGTATCTCATCATTTTCACTGTTTCATTCTTAATTGAGGGAAGCATAATGTATGTTTTCATTTTGAACGGTATAGCTGTAGTTGAACCAAAAATATTGTTTTATCACTCTTATTTTTTCTTTAGTAATAATAATAATATACTTTACACAGTTACAAAAATCAACACCTGTTCAATGCTATGTGCCAGGCACTATGTCAAGTGCTTAATGGGCATGATTTCATTTTAATCACCAGGACATCCCTCATTTATTCATCTATCAGCTATTTGTGCGCCTCTTCTGTATCAGAGACTGTGCCTACGGGGGGAGGCAAATAAACACAAATTCAGTTCTCCTACAGCTTAGTGCATTGGAGTGGGGGGTGCGATACAATATTCAAGCAATCATAGAAGTGTGGTAGTTGTAAACAAAAAGTTGTTAATTATAATATTTGCTATTTTCTCCACTCTCAACCATGAAAGAAAATTCTGCTTTTGTCTTCTAAGCTTTTTCTGACTAGCTTCCTTCCCCACCTGACTCCAGGGAGAATTCTTTCTCTGTCTGCTCGGTTTCTGAGCTGTTGTGATGCCAGATCCAACTAATGAGTTAGAACTAATGATGTATAAAATACAAAATTTTAAGACAAATACCTGAAAAGACATTGTTTACATTAATTTGAGGGAGTAAATATTCCCAATACTTAAGATTGTTAGAATTGTTGGTGAGAAAAATTTGAAAGATTTTTTGAAGATTTAGAAGACAATGCAAGACTTTTCTTTTCTTTTTTCTTTTTTTTTTTTTTAAGTACCAACATGTGTGACCCTGACAGAAATTACACCGACTTGTGGCTGATTTGGACACGCTTTTAGGGGAATGCTATTTTTAACAAGCTGTGTTCTCTTTTTTTCTTGTAGCAGTACTGACTTCCCTTTTGATTATTAATTGATAGAAAATTCTTTCTGGTGTTGATCAGATCTATCTATTTGACCTTTATCTATAACACTACATTGTTGAGATTTCCAAAATGTTTGTTTTCCCCATTACTCTTATGATTTTGAGCTTCCTAGGATTGTTTTGAAGATTATTATAAGAAACTTTAGCTTCTCAATATTAAAAGGAGCACTATGTAATTGTTTCTCTTTTAAAGGGAGGATCTGAAAAATTTTATAAATTTTATCTTGGATATTAGTTTATTCATTATGTTTAATTTTAGGAAATGGTGCTCTTGCAGAACATTCTGAAAATGTGCATATTTCAGGAGTGTCAACTGGTAAGTCATTTTTTGTAATGTTTAAATTTCATGCATGACTTATATGGTAAATATTGAGAGCCACCTGGTATCTTACGAAGTGATATTTGGCTATAAAAATTATTACTGCTTTTTGCAGCATGTAATAAGGAATGAAGTAACTGGAACATGGAGAAATTCTCATAAGATAAAACTGATACTTGCATGCCCATGGATTGATTATACTTTTCCAAACGGACTGCATAATTATTTTTTCATACAAACATTGAACCTAGGGAAAAGTTAGCTCAAGTTGAATTAGTATTTTCTTTCCATATAAAGTTATGTGAAATGAAATTTACTGAAATGTGATTTTGAATGCTATCCCTAGGATTAGAGCCTTAGAAATTAAGCTTTTTGCTTGATTTTTAGATTATAGTACTACTCTACATAAAGCTATTGTATTTGAGCACGCAGTTTATTTGCTATTAAAAGCAACCCAATATGCTTGTGTCCATGAAATTCAGAAATTCATCATTGAGGTAAATGTATTTTTTGTACTCATCTAGGCTTTTATAACTTATAATTACTTTATAACTTTATAATTACTTAAAGACTTATAACTAAAATTTTTATTCATAGGTCACTTCCACAACTCTGTTACCATTTTTGCTATATCAACCACAGTTACTAGGAGAACTAAAATATTTATTTTTGCATATATTGAAATAGGTTTTCTTACTATTCATTTATTATTTCCCTATGTTGATAAGTTTTGTGTGGTTAAAACTGCACTTAGTGTATTTATCAATCCATTGATTAACTTCTTTGTGTCATCTTGTAATTTATTTGGTTCTTTTTTCCTCACATGAAGCAAATCTTGTTCTTTTGTTTTATGTCTGACTTTGTATTTAGAAAGTTTATAGACTTAAGAAATACTCTAAGGATTAGTATGCTCTAGTCAAACACATCAACAAGCCTAGTTTCCTGAAAATACAAAGCAAGTGCTTCAGTGCCTGCATTAATTTTTTTTCATAGTTTGTTTCACTTTTTAAAAAATATGTTCTCAAATGATACATAATTGTTTATACCAAATAACAATAAGGTTATTTTAAAGATGACCTTCTCTCTTTTTCTTTGCATTTTGAATAATGAGAATTATAACTACTTCTCCAAGTTGTAACTATAAAGTATGCTTGTTTACAAACATTTTAATTTATACAACCAAATGGTTACTATTTAATTCAGTAGTTTTCAAAAATTTTGGTCTCAAGACCCATTATAAACTTTTAAAAACTACTGAGGCCTGTTTTAGTCTACGTGTGCTGCTACAACAAAATACTACTGTGAATAGCTTGAATAACAGACATCAATTTTTCTCACAGTTCTGGAAGTCCAAGATCAAAGTGCTGGCAGGATTGGTCCCTGGTGAGACCACTTTTCCTGGCCTGTAGATGGCCACCTTCTCATTGTGTCTTCACATGGCCCTTTTTCTATGAATGTTCAGAGAAAGCAAGAGGTCTCTTGTGCATCTTCTTCTAACAAGAACATCAGTCCTATGGTATTAGGGCCCCATCCTTATGACCTCATTTGACCCCAGTTACCTCCTTAATGGCTGTATCTCCAAATACAGTCACATTGGTAGTTAGGGCTTCCACATATGGGCTTGAGGTGGGACACAATTCAGTCTGTAACAAGGACTTAAAAGAGTTTTTGTTTATGTGAGCTACAGCTACCAATATTTACTATGTTAGAAATTAAAACTGAGAATTTGTTTTAAAACTCATTAGTTCAATTAAAAATAACAGTAACCTATTGCGTGTTTACATCAATATGTACTATAGTTTTATGAAAAATATATTTTTCAAAACAAAAAACATCAATAAGAACAGCTTTGTTTTATAATTTTGTAAAGTAATGATTGGCTTAAAAGAAGATAGCTAGATTCTCATATCTGTTTCTGCACTCAGTCTTTTGCAACATCATGCTTTGTTTGACATACTAGGAGACAGGCCAGTCTCACAGTGATGTGTAATTGGAAAAGAGAGTAATATTTTAATAGCCTTTTCCAGATAATCGTAAATATTCTGTGATGCTAGACCAAAACTCAAAAAGAGGTAGTTTCTTTAAGGTTAGTTGCAATGTGGAGTCTAACACCATATCATTGAGCATTTTGTGCTCTGTTACATTAAAATCTAATTGGGTCTGTCTTACCCTTTGAATCAATTTTCTTACCATGTATGATTTTATAATGTTCTTTGATCACTTGCAAATGCAGATTTGCTGAGTTATACAGATTAATACAGAGTATAAAAAGTTATGAAAACTTGGAAATTTGGACAGATACAGTACTATGTTCTGAATTTTGTGTCAACTAATCAAGAGTTACATTATACTTATTTTTAGCTGTTTGCTTGTGATTAGACCACTAGGCTCTTGTTGAGCATTGATAATACCCTTCAATAAATTTCTGTTTGAAGAAAGAAATCAGAAGTAAAGATATTTTACATTTTTTAATCTTTTTTTTCTTCTGAATTTCAGATGCATATTTAGAAATACGTATTAGCTTGCTAGGGCTACCATAACAAAATGTCCCAGACTGGGTAACTTAAACAACATGAATTTATTTTCTCACTGTTTTGCAGGCTAGAATTCTGAGATCCAGGTGTCAGCAGGGTTGGTTTCTTCTGAGTTCTTTCTCTTTGGCTTATAAATGGTGTCTTACTTTCTTCACATAGTCTCCGCTCTGTGTGTGTTGTCCTGATCTCCTCCTCTTATAAGGACACCAGTCATATTGGATTAGGGCCACACATATGACCTCATTTTAACTTGAACTCTTTAACTCTGTAAAGACTGTCTCTCCAAATCCAGTTATGTTCTGATGTACTAGGGTTAGACTTTAAAATATGAGTTTTTGAGGCAACACAATTCAGGCCTTAACAAAATGTGTGTTTTAATTAAATATATTTATATGTCAATAAAATACTCCATTTCAGAAGTGAGTAAAACCTTATTCATGGCTTATTTTTTCTAAGTCTCATCTTACCAAATCTTTCTAACATAGAATGGGAAGAATAATACATGAAATCTGTTCTAATTATATTATTAAAAATAAATGGAATTATATTATTAAAAATAAGTGGATGCTGTCTCCAAAGGTATGTCTGGGTACACAGAGTCATTGCTTTCTTTTTTTTTTTTTTTGCCTTTTTTGTTTTTTTTGAAATGGAGTCTCACTCAATCTGTTGCCCAGGCTGGAGTACAGTCTCAGTTCACTACAACCTCTGCCTCCCAGGTTGAAGCAATTCTCCTGCCCCAGTCTCCCAAGTAGCTGGGACTGCAGGCATGCACCACCATGCCCAACTAATTTTTGTAATTTTAATAGAGACGTGGTTTCACCACATTGGCCAGGCTGGTCTGAGACTCCTGACTTCAAGTGATCCGCCCACCTTGGCCTCCCAAAGTGCTGGCATTACAGGCATGAGCCACCGTGCCTGGCCTCATTGCATTTTTTTCTGAGGCCAGTACAGAGCTATAGATGTAATGTTTAATGGAGTATAAGTTTTCTGAAATCCTTGCATCCCCAGTAGAAACTAGGGCCCCTTCAGTGCTGGTCTAAATGGAGAGCTAGCCTTTGGAAGAATCTCAAAATGCAGGACTTGCTTTCTATTGAGATCAGCAAGCAACAGAAATGGTGAGATGCTTCAGTATTCTATGCTACCATCTATTTCTGCTCTCCCCTGCTCTTTTCACCTCTGCTACTCCATTTGCCAGTGCTCAGTGCCCTGCTCGATTGTCGTTTGCACTTTGGAAAGTATATTGATGATTTTAGAAAGAATTTTAATTGTCTACACCTAGTGTTATCAGGTAATTTGTTTTCCAAATCAGGACACTTTGAAAGCGAAATAATACATTATTTTTAATTATGCTGCACCAGTGACAGAACAAGAACTGTTCTGGACAAATCAGGCTGTATAGTCACCCTGTTGGCAATGAATTCAATTCATTTAACATGTATCAAGCACCTGATAGGACCTTGTGCCAAGGAGGGTGGAAGTAAGTGGTGAGTAAAATATTCTGTCTCAAGGAACTTATCACTTAATAGCAGAAGTAAATGTGCAAACCGTACCTATAATATGATCTTAATGTACTAAGGCACATTATGGCAAATAATGAACATATTAAGTTAGAATATGAATTTGTAAAAAGCCTAGTTATAATATCTGGTAAGTAGTAAATGACTTAATATTAACTTTTCTTATTTTATTAATTAGGCATAGTATTAAGTGCTTCATTTTGTTTACTCATGAATTTTTTGGGGAATTACTAATTTCTAATTAATAATATAGTTTTGGTTCTTGTGCTTGGAATAATTTGTTCTGTTTTTAATATTCTGTTTATTTCCATCTTCTTCCTCCTCAAATCCTTGCCAGGAGAGATAAGTCTTTGCCTTTTTGCTTGTTCTTATGCTACAGGGTTGGCATAAGAAATTGTAGTTAAATTATCAAAAAGTGTGTATCTAATTGTTATATAATGGGAAAGAATATTGGATAAAATCTAATTTTTGTACTTTTAAAAAAATTTAGTACTTTTCTTGGTCCAGAATTTTAAATCTCCCTTCATATATTAGAGAAAGGAGAAAAGACAAATGGTATTTTTATAAATTTAATAATATATGAAAATCAGTATGAATTGTACCACAGAAACTGCCAAGTAATTTAACTGCATACACGAGAGAGTAGGAAGGCTATTTTAATCACTTTTTTAAAAAATGTCTAAATTATATGTTTCTTTTTGAAATGTTTAAAATTACCAAATTACTGCTTATCTGCTACATAGAATGAAATATATCTTAGGTCAAGTTGATTTACCACAAAGCCCTTGTACACATTAAACACATGTATTTGATTTTTTAAAATATATCTGCTTTAACCTGAATTACTCTGTAATCTATGATATTGACTTTAATCAGGATATTCTAGAAATAATTTATGTTCTCCTTATTCTTGATTACTTCTAAATCAAGTTTTTTGTTTTCACAA